ATGGTATTAAAACAGCTCTTAAATAATAGCTATAATTAATGGGCTTTGTTTGAGACCTGGAAGAGCAGTGTGTATTCCCTATCTTGGTAAATGATACAACCAGTCATACAGTTACCCAGGCCAAAAGCTCAGAAGTCATCCTTATCTCCTAGTTCACAAAGAAATAACACCATTAAATTGGTGTCTCTCTCTCAACATCCTACCATCGGATCTAGAAAGCTACCAACATCCAAAAGCATCCATCAATTCCTCCTTTCTTCCTCTTTCAATTGAGACCTGGCTCTGCTTATCCTCTGTCTTATACCTTCAATTGTCCCCCCTTTTATGTCTCTTCCCCATTAAAATTTAAAGTTGCATAAGTTCAGGCCATCTTAAAAAAAATAAAAATTGCACACATATTTCCTTCCTGGGTCAAATCTTCTCTACCTTGCTGATCCTATTAACCTCCAGACATCCTTGACAAACTGTCCTCGCCAGCTGTTTCAATTTACTCAATTCCCAGCCTTAATGTAATCCTGTTTCTGCTTTATCACTTCTGCACTCCTCAAAGTCACCAGATGAAGTCTGCATCGCTTATCTATCTGATGAGTTTCTGTACTCGTCAGGCAGCACCTGACACTTCTGACTACTTTTTCCTTCTTGAAGCACTCTTCCTAGGCTCTGTGACATGCTCTCTCTTGGTTTCTTGCCTCACTCCCTGGATAAACGAGCTTAGTATTCCAGGACAGCTCTTCCTCCTGACAACTGCCCCCACCTCCAAAATCATGGGTATTCATCAAAGACCCAACATGTTACTTCTTCCCTTGTCACTCTAATGATTTCACCTTCTTCCTTCTGTGTATGGGTAACTCTTAAATCTATAGGTCCACCCATTAGCTTTTACATGAACATCAGATCCATAAATGTAACTTTCTCCTAGCAGTTTCTCCCTAGGTGTTTACAAGCACTTCATGCTCAATATGACTAAAATCAAATTCATCGTCTCCCAAGATCTCTCCCAAACTTGCTCTTTATCTACTATTCCCTCTCTCAAGTCCATTTATTTACATAACATATACATATCCACATGCAGATACATATGTACATAGACATGTATGCATGTGCATGTAAATACATACATAAATACATGAGACACTGTTTTGCACCACACACAGCCGTGTGCTGGTACATCTGCATGCTCTTTGTCCTGTCAGGGTTTAAAACCCAGAGCACTCACCATCTCCAAGGCTGATTCTTTACTCTGTTCACACTTCTGAACTCTCTTTGAATGAATATATATAATATGTGTGTGTGTGTGTAATTTCTAATAAAATAACTTTTTTTTTAAAGATTTTATTGGGGAATTGGGGGAGGGGAACAGCATTGGGGAATCGGGGAAGGGAATCAGACAAGTCACTGTCCTTTTGTTCTTCAGTCTAGTGTGGAGAACGTTGCTTCACTGGCCCATGTTGGTTTTATCATTGCGCTCTTCCCAAGTGAGGCAGTCGCTTGCCAGCCACTGGACGGCAGCTCACGGTGGCTCATGGCAGCTCACACCAACTGCCGGCCACTCAAGCTAGCTGCCAGCCACTCACAGTAGCTTATGGCAGTCCACTGCAGCAGGGGCTGCAGTTTACACTGTCGCCAGCGACTCATGGAAGCCCAGCTCCAGGTCGAACTATTGTTCACCATCTTAGCTGTAGAGGGCACAGTGTCACTGGCCCCCATGTGGGATCCGAACCAGGGCCACGCTGCTCAGAGATGGTGTCCCAAGCCAACTCTTAACCAACGTGCCACTTGGCCGGCCCTCTAATAAAATAACTCTTAAATTTTCTAGTAAAAATTTTATTTTCTAACAAAATGCTGAAATTTTAAATTCTGTAAACTTATACTGTTTACCCACGCTCTGGGTACATTTGTTGATTTAATTCTTGAGAACGATCTGTACAAAAGTGTTAGTAAATTAACACTTAACACTTGTTCTAAAAAGACAAAAATCTGTTGACTGTTAAGTTACCAATTGACCATACTTTGACTTCAAAATGGATTATTCTCCTCAATGTCACAGAGGCACTAGAAGGCTGTGTAAGCAGTGAAAATAGTGCCTGGTACACAGTATGTTCTACACATTCTCATCATTGTATTACTGTTATTATCAGAATATCATTGACTTAGAGAAAATGGAAAAAGCAAGTAAAACCAGAATATAAATATGGTAGTGTTCAAAGAGTGCATTTTGTATGGCAGGTATTCAGAAATTTAAGGAAAATAACTTGGTTATATATTTGTCCCTGTATTTCTCCTATTCCCATTCAGACACATTGCTTGCTCTTCATTTTCATAAACATGTTTTCAACATGACTTGTTAATAACACATGTAGATAAAAACTTTTAAATTATTATCAAACACATGATTAAGCAGCTATGACCATTAGTTTGGAATTTCATTAGTTTTCAACAATTCTGTGAACTCAGAGTGTATCGGAGTTCACCTCCTGATTCCTGTAATCCAGTGAAAAAGTCAAGATACTACCAAGTAACAAAACATTTAGCCTTCTTGCATCCAGGAGGGAAGGCACTGCATCAACAATAATCACTAAAGAAAAATTCAACAAACTGATTAATTCTAATTGATGTTTGCTATATTTTATTAAAACCTATGTACCACTGGTCAAATCCCTCTTAAGAGAGAAAATGGTAGAAAAATACCTTGGCTATAGTAACCTGAGAATGCATACATATACATATATGTAAGTGACAAATAAGTTCAACTAGCAAGTTACCACTTGTTAATTTGTTTAAGAACATAAGCTCTATGAGCTCAGACGCCAAATCTCTATTGTTGACCATTTTTTTTCCTGCCATCAAGGCAGCAGGCAGCAGGATATTCCATAAATATTAATAAATGACAAAAAACTAGTGCACTTATGTCACTAGTTTAAAAATATAACACTATGTATACATAATACTACCTCATTAGTATTTCTGAACATATAATTAACAGCTCAGACAGTATAGTGACACCATCATCTAGTAGCAAAAAAACAGAATATAAAGTATCATGAACCATTATAATTCCAGAAATAAATAAGTGAAAACACAAAATCCTAATTATGCCTGTAAATTAAACAACACACTCTGACATAAACATCTAATCAACAATATGCTTATTCTCGAAAGCTGTTGATAATCCTCCCAAGAAGTAGAAGAAAAGACAGGTTCAGAGAACTGTTGATTATTCTTGTCACCAGCAAGAAAAATAACCCGAGGGAAGTCAGAATCCACTATATTTTTATATTTTTATATTATTATATACATTTTTGGCAAATGATCTTGTACTCTTGTAGAGCTAAACATTCCAAATCAGTATAATTAAGGGATTTTAAAACAAATGACAAAAGATACAGAAAAAAAACAATTTGTCCAAGAGACTTTACCTTCCTAATTGTGATACGACCCCAGCTACTTCTTCCAAGCCTTGTTTTCTAGATCACCCTCTTCTTCCTGACCTCTAAACACTGGAAACCCTGGGGCCACTTCTTTAAGTCTCTTCTCTGTCTATACTCTTTCTCTAAGTGAAGCTGTCCAGCTCCTCGGCTAAACAACATCAATATGCTCACAGCTCTCAAATCTGTATCTCCAGCTACTATAAGCCCTCCACTTAATTCCAGACTTGTATATCCAAATGCCCACTTAGCAGCCCCACTTTGCAATCAAATACACATCTCAAATATATCATTTCCAAAACCAAATTCTTGATCTACTACTATTACAAACTTACTAGTATCTGACCTCTGCTCTCCTTTATTTTTGTTATCTGAAAATAAACAAAAAACCAAAAACCAAAAACCAAACACCACCATTCATGTAATTGCCCAGGCCAAAAACTGGACTCTTACACACTCATCGAATCCATCAACAGAGTCTCTCATCTGTAGCAGCACCCTAACTAGATACTGACTTCCACTCCTGTACCCCTCAAAGCCTATTCATCTGGAGCGCGAGTAGTCCTATAAAAACCTGTCAGATCATTCCACTTCCCAGCTCTCAAACTGAGCAGCTTCCCACCATGCTAGAATGAAGTTCAAATCTTTACATATCATGACCTCTAAGGCCCCATAGGACCCGGCCCAGGGGTATCTCTGAAATCATTTCTACCCGCTTTCTCACTCATTCAAATCTCCCCAGTCACGGCAGCTTCCTTTAAGGCACCGAACATGCCAAGTATAACACACTCTTAGGGGCTTCCAAGTACCCTTGACCTTATGCCTGGAACTCCACTCAGGCTGCTGCAGAGTTTGCTTCTTCACTTTATGCAGATCTCTGACCAAAAATACTTTCCCTTCTCATCCTATCTAAAACAGAATACTGCTCCATCGGGATCTCTCTCTTTACCCTATTTTTCTTCAAGCATTTAAAATTGATGGACACACAATACTATGTAATTTTTTTCCCTCCTTATATTGTTTCCCTCATTAGTGTACATGCTTCACGAGGACAAGGGGCCATGTCTATTTTATTTATCACTCCATTCCCACAAGCTGGAACAGTACCTGATGCACAATAGATGCTTCATATTTATTGAAAAAGTGAATGCAAGAAATAAAATTTTAGCTGTGCATGACTCACATGCAAAACTAATTCAGGATATTATTTCTATTCCTAATACACCTACACTGAAAATATGCTTACCACTATCAAATGCTTCCAAACACTTAAATGTGAATGTCCCAAATGGATCTAGGTCTATAGAAAATTATAATAATTGATCACACTGAGTTTTGTCATAACAAATATAAAAAATATGTAAGCTTCACTGGTGTATTCTTTCTACTGAAGAGTATACACACACACACACACACACACACACACACACATACACACACACATACACACACACATTCTTTTCAGAAAATTTCCAACAGGCTATAAAATAATGGGTTCTCCACCAAGAAGATAACCAAAATAGCCCGTTCCCTAGAGTGATTGCAGTAAAGAGTCAAAGGCAAAAATGCACTCACCTCCCTTTTTCTACCAAAAGTAAGACATCCATTTTTTCCCCATTTTGAACCATTGTGCTGGTGGCTAAAGGGAGAAGAGAAAAGCATTAATATATTTCTTAAGAACATTTTACTAAATACCCACCAAATACCCACAAAGACACAATTATTAATACTCCCTAGTCATATGTTTGGGAGTGAGCAATCATAATTTTATGGAAAAGCTATTACTGCCATATGCAATAAAAAATTATGTTGAAAATATAAGATGAGAGAAAAAAAAATCTTACTTAGCTCTTGCAGTCTTCTTAAGTACATTCTATCTTCCTGAACTTCTTGCATTTGAAGGCAAAAATACAAACTAGATTTGTCCATAGCAAACCAGCCTTGTCTCCACTGATCCAGGGCTTGGCAGTCTTTGTAGAAGAGTTGACCAATCAAATCATAGTCAGCTTCTGTTAAGCTTTCAGCAACAAAGGGAACAAAATGCTGTTAAAACAAATACAGAAAAGTAATAAAGACAGTGAAAATAGGAAATCTTTTCCTTATCTACAGATATGAGGGAAGGTAGAAACTCATCTTTGTTTTCTATTGTAAAGATTTAGAAGTAGCCCCAATTTCAATATAATTATTTAAGTTTGCTATCAGTCTTAAAACTGAATGGCTAATAATGCATTTTCAAATGGCAGCATCTTAATCATTTTTCTTGCTATATATAGAATTGAAACAGGAAGACATTCTCTTTGTCGATGTATGGCATTTCTCAAAAAATATCAACCCTAAATGTTTGTCTTCATTTGTATCTTTTCCTGAATCTGTCCCTTTCCCCTTTCTGTATGCCAAGAATATCTACCTATAAAAAGACATACGCAAAAATGACTTTACAATGTTGAAACAAATCTTCATCATTAAAACATGGCTTTACTTCAAAGAATGATTTCTCCAAGGTCCTACATGAATTTCTTCTCTACTCAAAGTTTTAAGAAGGTACAACCTTTGAAAACCAAATGAAGTATGGACAATCTTCCCAGAGTCTCGCATAAAACTTCCATGGACCTCTAAAGCTCAACCATAGACCCCAAGCTGAGAATCTTCTCTGTATTTAGGGTAATAATATGATATTTAAATACCTTAGCTATTGTTTCTGTCCATTTTCGTTGGGCTTGAGATGTTTCAGCTCCAAATAAGAATGCACGTTCTGAGGGCAAATAGATCTCAAAAGTAAAGATGGGCCTACCGCACACATGAATAAAAAGATGCCACTGGTTATGTTTGGCTCTCGTGAAAGCAAATCACATGAAGGTCAAATTTTTAAATTAAGTTCATTCTGAAAATTGGTTAACGTTATGAAATCAGTCTATCATATTTATCTGTTGATGGTTGATATTTCATTCAAATGAGTTAAATGGACACACAAATCATACAAAATGAGTATTCTTCTGATTATAATTACTTTACTGCATGATTTACTAGAAAACAACAGTATATATAGTATATATACCAGTATATATTGATCATTATGTAATACGTTTCATGTAATTTTATGTAAATAACAAAGCTTTGCAAATCTCTTCCCTTTCTTACATTAAATTTTTATTAAACAGTATGCTCCTAGACAACTGATTTTGGCAGATTTTAATATTTCTATTTCTTTATTAAATACATCACAAAATGTGATGAGAAACTTTCACACCAAAGATCTTCAATGGTCTGTTTCTAAACGTCCTCATAGAAACTCTAAATAAACTATTCTGTGAGTCAATATATAAGATTAATAATGCTTATTCTTTTAATTGCAACTTTTTTTAATTGAGACAATTAAAATATCAAAGCATATATTTAGAACTTCCATGTTATTAAATACTTAGAATTTTGTTTATATTAATATGAATAAATCATCACCAAATATTTCCCTTTGTCACATATTTAAACCATGACGTATTAAACGAACATATATATTTTACAATTAGTCCACTATTTTAAATATTAAGTAAGTCATAAAAATTGTAGGACATGTTCAAAAATGAAACACTATCAATTTACTTAAGATCAGATGCAAACATGTTAACCTAAATTACTTAGTATATTTTAATTTTCCTACTTTTTAGTGAATTCCCTAATGAAATTTCAGAAGCTACAAAATGAGTGTGTTTCAAGAAACCATTAAACCCTTCTACAATAGACAACTGAAGAATTGAAATAACAAAACCCTCATTACCTAGTATGATAAGTATCAGAAAATGCTTTTTGTCTCCTGACTGTTTAATTATAGACCTACCCGGTATTTAAATAGAAGTCCTCTTTGTGGACTGCCAGGCAGATAACTTCATTGATATTAATGGTGCCATTAGGTGTAGTAGACTTATCATTTTCATAGTAACTCAAGAAGCCTCCTTCCAAAACACACCACTTTTTATTTGTCTCTAAGAATTTAAAACAAAACAAATAAATTGAACTATACCATAACTCCAATTAAAAAAAATACATTGTTTAAATAATGACTGCATTCAAGTAAATTTATTAATTCCCTAGTTCATGTAAAGAGCATGCTCTTGCTGCATGGGATATAAAGTTGTCACACTCTGCTCTCAAACAATTTACAGTCCAGTAACAAGGGGTGTATACGACAAAAATAGCTATGACATTGATGACCAGTGAAGCTGGAAGATGCATGAAGGACTGCTACAAAACAACTCTGACACAGCCGAGATTGATGTCTGTACAGAGTTGGATAGGACAATGAGTAGGGTAAGAAGTAAGACCACAGGTGATCTTAGGTATTCAAAATAAGGAGGGGTCGGTGCCTGTAGTGTCCTTAATGCCTTGGTTAGAGGACTTCAAATTCATTTTGTAAGGGGTGAGTGCATGACAAGCCTGCAGGCAAAGGGCCAAATCCAGACCAAGACTTGTTTCTGTAAATAAAGTTTTAGTGAAACACCACCACAACCATTCGTTTATGGATTGTCTGTGGCTGCTTTCTCCCTACAAGGGCAGGTCTGAGTTGTGGCACAGACCCTCTGGCCCACAAAGCTTGAAGTTTTTACTATATGGCCCTTTTCAGAAAAGTCTGCTGAGCTTTGATTTTGTAGTTGATGGCGAGCCATTAAAATGGTGTCAGCATAAGATTATAATCAGATTTGAGTTTTACACACTCCGCTTAATGTGAAAAATGGATTTGAGAAAGTGAGGCCAGAGGCAGGAAACCAGTTAGGAGACTGTTGACAGAGCCTACCTGAGAGATGAAGACAGCCAAAAGCAAGACAGCGAGCGGTATAGGGATAAAAGGAAGAAAAGGTGT